GAAGCAGCAGATGGGGTGCATGGCTTGCTGCTCATCCTCCCTCTCTCCCACAGAGGCACTAAGCTGCCGAGTATCCAGGGACAGCTGATTCCAGCTCAAAAAAATGAGGAGCCTGGTAGAGGTTGCACCACCCTGTGGACAGCACTGCAGGGAGATGCATCCCACAGAGCCCAACTTAGGCTGCTTGGCTAAAGCACGACAGGTATAACCTCTCTACACCTCATTTTTTAAAAGATCTTTCCTTTTTGCCCCACCCTTACCTCCACGCAGGCATTTACCCGGAGCATCGGCTGCGACAAGCACTTGGCAGTGGCTTATTTCCAGCGGGGGACTGTGTTTTACCGAAGGCAGAAGTGAGTTAAAGGGTTTAAAGTTTCAATCTTACCACTTGTAGAGAAGCCAGCCTTTGGCTGAGGGCAGCCCCAGGCCCGTTGGTACCCTTGGGGCCGAAGCACAACCTCTCAAGGTAAAACAGGCTCCTCCTCATCAGCAGTGCAGTCTTGGGTTGAACACCATCCTTGGAGCATCTCTCCTCCCCATGGGATATCTGAAAACATTGCAAGGAGAGAGGAGAGACCCAACTAAACTCATACAAGTTTAAGTAAAGACTTAGAGGCAGACAGATTGCCACCACGAGGTGATGATACCCTTGTCCTCTGCTCCACAGCCATGAAAAGGCCATTGAGGATTTCAAAGAGGCGCTGGCCCAGTTAAGAGGCAACCAGCTCATTGACTACAAGATCCTGGGGCTGCGATACAGGCTCTTTGCTTGCGAGGTGAGAAAGACTTGGCCAGCAGTTTTGATCCCAAAAGTCAGTTCACCAGCTCAAGAAATCAAAGGTGAAGACAGCCAGCTTCTCTTTGTGCCTTGTGAAAAAGCAAGCAAGCTGGTGGTGCCACCACGCTCCTGTCCTCTCCTTTACCATCCTCCTGTCAATGATCCAGCTGCTCTCAGAGCTCATTTCCTTGCTCCCATCCCTCTGGCAGATACTCTACAACATTGCACTGGTGTACGCCACGATGGAGGACTGGAAGAAAGCTGAGGAGCACCTGACACTGGCCATGAGCATGAAGAGCGAGCCCCAGCACAACAAGATTGACAAGGCAATGGAAGCCATCCTGGTAAGGAGGAGCCGGTCTTAAAGCTTCTGTGTTTGCTCACAGAAGCCCCACAGGAGCAGGGAGAAAAATCCCAGTGACAGAGAAACCACCTTTTAGCTATGGCTTTAGCAGAGCAGGAGGAGATTGCGGCAGGCTGAGCAAAATGTGGGTGTTACAGTAAGCCATGAGTTGGTGAGAAGAACTATGGGCCACTGGGGAGGTGGGAATGTGAAGACTGTGTTAAATGGACCAGGTCAGGGCCGGGCTGTCATGGTGGTGTTTTGCCTTCGTGCAGTGAGAGCTTAACCCTAGAGGGGTTAGAAGGAAGGGGACATTAAGCGGTCCCTGCTCTCCCCTCTGAGGAGCACTACGACTTCTCTGTGCTACAGAAGCAGAAGCTCTGCGAGCTGGTGGCCGTTCCTGCAGGGAAGCTCTTTAGACCAAATGAAAAGCAAGTGGCTCAGCTGGAGAAGAAGGACTACCTGGGAAAGGCCATGGTAAGAAAGAAATTTATTTATTCAGGCCAAGCCTGTGGGCTAAGGAGAGATGCTGACTGCCCTCTCATCACCCCTCTGAGCTGCTTCTACCCACTAGCTGGTGGGCAGCCAGAGATACAGAACTGGTCCATGCCCTGGGGATCACCCTCATGTGTGGAGGGAGGGATGGCAGATAGGTTGTCTGCTGGGCAACAGGGACTCTGCAACAACAGAGGAACTAAAAGCAAGTTTGTGCAGAGCGCGGCCAATTTTCAGTTTCTCTCCTTAGTGAGACACGAGGGACAGTCAGTCAGCAATAAGCTGGAAGGGTCCCACTGCAGCTTCAACTTGAGCCAAGATCTTTTCAGGAAGGGAAAAAGAAGATATTTAACACCTGACACCCACAAAATGACCTCCAGTTCTTCCCTTGCTCCATTTGAAAGGGTCTTTTCAGCTAAGTGATATCTCCCTTGGGCTCAGGTCCTGGGAGACAGTGCTCCTCATGAAAGGGAAAAATGGGCTGTGTGGGCCCTGGGGAATCAGATCATCAAGAGCCAAGCAGCTCCTCAAGTGTCAGGGGAACCCAGAAACACACACACAAGCATTTACGAACTTTCTAAATTATGTTTAAAGTCACCTATAGGAGGTAAGGGCTTGAGCTGGACACTTCAGCTCCTGTCAACTTTTGTGATCAAAACATAAAAGGAAACTTTTAGGTTGTAATGACTCTAACCACAGTAACACTGAGGCTAAGGTCTGAGGACACAGCTGGGGGGTAAGGTTTGGTGCCAGAGGCGCTCGGCTTGTAATCAAAGGTGCTTAGCCTAAAATCATGGTCCCTCTTGAACATAAAGTATCCTGAGGAATCTGTCTTGGCCAGAGTCGAAGGAGGAGGGATGGACATCAGAGGTCTACAAGCACAAAGTCACTACCTGTCTGTCTTTGGCTCTAGGTGGTGGCATCCGTGGTGGACAAGGATGATTTTTCAGGCTTTGCTCCACTCCAACCACAGGTAAGGCACCACAGTTGAACAGCATCTTTGGTCAAAGTTCAGGACATGGGGACGGGTATCATCCCACAGCTTGCCAAGGGCTCTGGCTCACAGCGGGGAGCAAAAACAGCAGCGTCACACCGTGAACTTTCTGCTGCTGGGACGGGGAGGGGGCGGGTGCTGCCCCCGCGCCTCAGCT